GAAACTTACCTGCTTCAGCAGGTGGTGCCGCGGTAACTTCCACTGTAAGCTCCAATCCGCTGATTTCAACGTCGCAGCTCTCCTCCAGCACTCGACCCCAAGGAATCTGCAGGGTAACTTGATGTACGAAACCGTCAACCAAACGGAATGGTGCATTTGAGCCACCGAGCATTTCGTTGATGTGCTGAATCGAATGACTAACTCATATTCGAAAGAGACCGAAACAAAACTCACACTGACATTCAGATCCACCTCGAACAACGAACCTTTACCCTTGAATATATCTACTGAAAGCTGTTCTATGCTCAAATGCCGTTCCAGGATGAAATCGCCAAGATATCGGTTAAGGAGGAACACACAGAGAGGCTTGGTGGTGCTCGCCGGCATATCTCGCATATCCTTGAAGGCTGAATTCCAGAACTTCATCGTTCTTCCCGTTAACTGCTTTACACTAGTCCACAGCTGCTCACATGATCCGGTACTCTGAAAGCAAGTATTCTCTGGTACTCAAGACGTTAAGGCAATATAAAGCGCTTGATCCATAAAATCATATGTTGCATAATGATTTATTATTAATTATTGTCGTTTAGACACTTCACTTTTTGAATAGCTTTCCGCTTTAATATTTATGCATGTTAAAATACTCAAACATTAAACATCAACAAACAACCACGCTCCTCAGCGCCAATCAGCTGAGATGTCATAATTGAATACGGTAGTAGTAATCTAAAGGTACAAACTTCGCCAGTTGAAAGAATGGCCTTTTCACGATTTCTGCGAAAAACGAAGTCAAATGCAAAACTCGATACAACATTTAGGCAATTCATAGGTAAAGGCTTCAGTGTCATATAATTACGGCGTTGTCCTTAAATTTAAAACTATGTTGTTCCTGTTAGCGCAGCCATTGTCACTCCGTTAGAATGCGCCATCGAAACAGTTACTCCTTCCTGACTTATGTTCTGCGTTGTAAGAGTTTTTTGTAACAGCAATTTTGCATTCTTTGTTGTTTTTTGAGCTTTTTTCGTTCATTTTAATTCCTATCTCGTTCCTTCTGCCATTAAATTTTAATAGATTTCCACGGATTAATTTCTTCAAAACGGATTCTCGCTGAATAAATACAAAGGCTATTGAAAAAATTTTACGTATCGACAATATGCACTTCCTCGCTGTAGCTAGGTATTCTTACCATAGCGAGGTACCACTGAGATAGTGTATCGCTTGAATTACAATCATATCTGAGACTGGACGCAAGCTCAAAAGAAGGATAGGGATAGCATAATAGATAATGAAGTTCGATATTGACAGACTACTGTACCAATCGTTGTCAGTGGTGCATGTTGTCAATTGAGCATTTTCTCAAAATCGTAGTTAACTGAGAGTAGCGCTGAAGACAACGCTCTACATGAAGGTTGCATGTATCGACGACACCTCTCGAACGTTTATCAACTTAATTTTCGGCTGCAAGCTGGAGATAATAGACAATGCGAAGGCTGAGTTATCATCAGACCAAGTCAAGCAATTCTTAGAGCATAGAAAGGCTATTTTCCGTCAATGGAACTTCTACTAAATTATGATTTATTTAGTCAAGATCGCAGCGAAAATGCGCTGCCTTTGGAAGGATTTTTCCACATCGCCCACTTGAGAGTTTCAAGCATTATTAAGCGCAGAGGGCGATTAAGAAATTTTAATTTTTCCGGAATTAAATTTCAGCCATGAACAAAAGTGATCTGAATAGTTTTTAATTCTGTCAGCATACTTGAGAATATCATTTAATTTCGCCTATAAGCACAAAGTGTGCAGAAATTGTAAAAATTTTTTGTTATACTTCATCTGCAGCTGTTTCATGAGCATCCAAATATCTTCAGCAATCGAGTCACATGATCTGCAGCCAGAAGTATAAAAACACCTTCTTGCCGCAACATTTTTCAATGACAAAGTTCACTGAAGAACTCGTTAACGTCGAGCTACCGCAGGAAGACTGGAGTGAGGAGCAGCAGGGAACGCATTAATTTTTTTCGAAGATGAAATCACACACGCTGAAAAGCAGAAAAAGTAGAAAAATTGCTGGAATCGATAGAATCTGACTTGAAGAGGACATGTGCTGCCCTATGCATCTCAGCCAAACTAAAGTCGTTACGGGGAAGGCACCAGCGGACTGGTGAACAGGGCGAAGTACCCCTGTTCAAGAAGGGACAATATAGGCGGTGCTACAATTTTCTTGGTATTACTTAATTAAGTCTTTCGTGTTAAGCCTGTGCTAACTGCTAGAGAAGAAGTGTCGTGGATAACTGTCTCTAAAATACGAAAACTTCAGTGTATCTTCCGGTCCATTCGAAGCATATCCGATCAGATATTCGCCCAATGCCAGACTGTAAGAAATCATGAGAGTTTGCTCAGCCGGTTCATGCGTGTTTTGTGCAGCTAAAGAAAGTCTATGACTAGATCCGCGATGCAGGCAGGGTGCATGTCTGCGATCATATCGGACTGATGGCCAGTTGGGAAGGTTGCTCTTTGCAAACACAAATGACCTTGCTTCATTGGCATTTTCTGAAACTGATCTACTATGCGCTCTGGAATGGCTTGAGGATAGCGCGACGTGGTCAGCATTCGTATGAACGCGTCCAAAACTAAAAGTCTGCTTTATCGTTGTCTTGTTCTCTTAGTGGTGACGGAAAATATAACGAAGA